GCAGAGCGATTGTTCGATTTTTCCATCGGTCTATATCCACCGAAAAAAATTAAAGGCGCACCAAATGCTATATTATTCTCATCGCACGCCTCTAAAATTAATTGAAGATATGAACTGATTGGTGATTCTGATTGGTGATTGGTGATGGAATTCTTAGCGCCATGTGATGTATCGCTTACTGATGTGTGACAAGCCTTTAATACAGTTTCACGGAAACAGCGAATGCCTGACACAATAAACAGTCACTAGTGGTCTATCATTGAAGAATATTGCAATGCATTAAAAGCATTCGAAGGAGAAGCTCCTTGTGATTTCCCTTTGCGCACTAAAATGAAATTGAAAATCAGATGGAGACGTTTCGACAACGTGGAAAAGGTTCAAGAGGTGTCGCAACGGATACTTGATAAGATTACAAAAAATGATTTCCAAAAGTCATTTGAGCCAAATTACCATTGGAAACAACGTCAAAACTATTATAATTGGGAAATTTTACCATATCCCCCATATTCCCCAGACATTGCCCCATTTGATTACCACCTGTTCAGAGCATTACAACACTTTTTAATAGGTAAAAAATTTGAAAATATTGACATTCTCAAAAATAGCTTAGAAAATTATTTTAAAGAAAAACAAGAGAACTTTTATCGAGATGGAATAATGGCCCTACCAGAAAAATGGGAAGAAGTTGTACAACGTGAAGAAAATAAAACTTTTTCGTGAAACTAAAAGGTATGTAAACAATCTTAACATATATAACCGCTGGAAAAAACGGCACGAACTTATGGGATGACCTAATACTTCGGACGAGAGCCAAAACTAGGTTCATATATTAATGAAGCATTTACGAAAGCAATTCCATTTCCAAGAGCTGGTATATTGTAAAGTAAACTATGCGTGCACGAAGAAAAAGTATATCACGATAGAGCGGACAATTAGATAAAATTTGAAATGCTTAAGGCAAGAAATAATCAAGAAAAACACAGCAGCTTCTGTATCAACAATAAACAACTATGAAACCTCAAGACAAAGTACAGAGAAACAACAAAGAAGTATAGCAAACGCAGAACAAGCTATTTCATGCAACATGAGTATAGAATCAGAGAAGTAACCGATGCGAAACAGTCACAGAATCTAAAATTACTTGCTAAGCCGGAAAAGACGCAAAATGATTAAATCCAGCGTCCATACTACCAGGAAAGAAAATACCAAAATGCTAGAAATGATCAAAGGACCAATAAAATAGAAAGTTGGATCAAGCGTCAAATCCAGCAACAAAAGACAAAGTATTTCAATCATAGAAAGACTCATTCGAAGAAGAACCTTTTTATTAAGAAGATATTGTAATTGTTTCATTACTAACTTTTACAAATGTACATAAATATAAACTGTTACATCAGAAAAGGATGCCCGTTGAGCCCGACGTTATTCAACATCTATGTGGCAGTGCTGGAAGAAGAATTAAGGAAAGAACAAATCGAGGGCATAGTGATAGGAGAAAGGAAGGTATGGTCATTGACATATGCAGACGACATTGTGCTGATGGCGGATAGAGAAGAGGAACTAAAGAAAATGCTAAACAGATTCGAAAAATCTTTAAAGAAAACCGAATTGGAACTGAGCACGGAAAAGACCAAGATAGTAGTTTTCGAAAAAAGAAAGAACAAGAAGAGAAGAAGAAGTGGTCAAGATAAGATACCTAGAGTACATACTACAGAAAAACGACAGTGATAAGAAACACATACAAGACAGGAAAAGGAGAGCAACAATAGCAATGAAGAAGACATGGAGCGTGGGAGAAAGAATTTTCAAACAGGACTACAAGAGGAGAACGAAGATGTTTGGAGTACTGGTAGAGAGCGTGGCGCTGTTTGGAGCAGAGGTATGGAGCTGGAACATGGAAAAAAAAGCTGGATAGAATACAAAGAAGATATGTGAAATGGATCTTAGGTTTAAATATGACGCCTCGGCCTCCCGCTCACGTACAGGATGACCCAGGTGCTCACGGGACACGGCGTGTTCGGCGAGTACCTGATGAAAATCGGACGGGAGACGACGGACATCTGTCACCAGTGCGCGGAGGGCAGGGACACGTCGCAGCATACGCTGGAGTTTTGTCCGGCGTAGGAGCTGTCCCGCTTCAGCAGCGGTTCGCCGACGCTTATAAGGAAGCGAGAAGATCGCTCAAAAAGGAGATCGCCCAGAGCAAGGCGAGAGCCTGGGCGGAATATTGTAAAATTCTAGAGGACGACCCCTGGGGTAAGCCCTATCGCGTGGTCACGAAGAGATGCAAGAGCAAAGGCCCGGTGAGCGACATGCCGATCAGCTCGGTTAGAGCAATCCTAAGCGAGTTGTTCGTCGTGGGACACGGAGCTTCGCGCCACGAGGGTGCCGACGAAGAGGCGATGGACGAGGCTCGACGGAAACTGATTCTGGACGAGAGCGATGTCGTTGGCATCGCCGATAGGGTTAACGCGAAGAAGGCGGCGGGAATAGACGGAGTCCCGGGAGAGGTGGCGAAGGTGGTAGCGTGTCGTAGGAGCGAGCTCGTGACCGGAGTGTTTAACAGCATTACCGATACAGAGCGGATCCCCGAGTGCTGGAAAACGGCCAGAGTCGTGCTGCTGAGGAAGTAAGGATCCTAGACTTTCCAACGCGTATCGGCCGATAAGCATACTCCCGGCCTTAAGCAAGATCTGGGAGAAATGCCTGAAGATGATCATCGAAAGGTGCATCGGGGTGGACCCGTTCCACCGAAGACAGTACGGGTTCAGGAAGAGGAGGAGCACGGTGGACGCTGTCACGCAGGTGATGAAGTTCGCGGACATCTGCAAACAAAAAAGAGTGATCTGCCTGATGATTGCCCTGGACATCGGTAATGTTTTCAACACATTGAGCTAGGAAAGCATCACGAGCGAACTGGCCAGGAGGAAGTTGCCGGGGAAGATCAGAAGATTGATCGGCAACTACCTGACGGGGAGGAGGATCGTCGCCAGCAATCAGCATGGGACGGTGGAATTCGAGGTGGCGGTAGGAGTTCCACAGGGATCGGTGCTCGGGCCTTTACTGTGGAACTTGGTGTACGACCGGCTGCTCGAGAGGCTCGATAACATGGTGATGGTGAGGGCAACCGCGTTCGCGGATGACTTAGCCATCGCGTGTGCTGTCGGGAGGAACGAAGGAGCCACCGCCAAGGTGAACACCATGCTGCGCATCGTGAACGACTGGTGCGCGAGCGTAGGCCTCAAACTGGCTACAAAGAAGACAGAAGTGTAGGCCTCAAACTGGTCAGAGAGAAGACAGAGGTCATGTTCGTCACCGGCATGCGGGTGCCGTTGGTGGTCGGGCTTAATCTGGGGGACATGATCGTTGACACGGTCGAGGCCGTGAAGTATCTCGGGGTCAAGATCGACAGTCGTAGGAGGTTCGACGGACACATCGAGGCGGTCTGTGGGAAGGCCGACATCCTGACGGGAGCCCTTAGAGGCATCCTGCCGAATATCAATGGGCCGCCCAACTTGGCCCGTCGACTCTACTACAACGTCTGGGAGTCCGTTGTGTTCTACGGCGCACCGGTGTGGGCGGACGCCGTCGGCAGGGCGAAGAACAAGAAGATAATGAAGAGGGCTCAGAGAACCGCCTTGAGCATAACGACGACGGCTTACCGTACGGTCTCGCATGCAGCGCTTTGCGTGTTGACCGGCAATCTGCCGATCTACGTCAAGGCGAAGTAGCTAAAAGAGACGTACGATAGGATCAAGAACATCAGGATCGGTGACGGAGACGACAATGCGCTGAAGGAGGAGCTGGAGGCGTTACGAAGGAAGGCGTATGACTAATGGCAAAAGGAATGGGATGCGTACAAGAAGGAGAATATCACCAAGAAGTTGGTACCGTGCGCATTCCTCTTTGCCAGGAAGAAAGTGGATATCGACCATGACACGATGCAGCTGCTAACGGGCCACGGGATCTTTAGCAGCTACAGGAAGAGGATTGGCAAGGACGAGAACTCCAGGTGTTTAGACTGCGGAGACCCGAACGACGACGCGAAACACGTCCTGTTCGCGTGTTCCAAATGGACGGACAAAAGGACGGAATTGGAGAATTGTCTGGGCGAGAAGTTAGACGTGGACAATCTCATGTACACGGCCACCGCCAACGACAACGGCTGGAATAGATTCAGGCAGTTGTGCAAGACCGTCATGAGTCACAGGAGGGTGGCGGAGAGGACGATGGAGGCTGAAAAGAAGAGAATGACGAGCGCGGCGACCACGCGGAGATAGGATGACGAGTGGCTGATAAGAGCAACCCTTCCACAACAGTAATAAGAAAAAAAGACCAAACGAGACTGGAGAAGGACTAATAGAATTGAAGACAATAATGGAGAAGAAAAAGGGCAGTACAAGACAGGGAGGAATGACAATAAGGAAGCACAGCAAGGAGACAAAAGTTGCCATAGTTTTAGAGACAGAATATATAATGGAGTGCAATATAATAGAGTGGATAAGAGGGGAGGTAGATATGTAAGAAAAGAGAGATAGACAAGAAAAAGAGTTTAGACAGATATAAGGGAGGAGGCAATAAGGTGATAACGCTATTAGACTGATAGAATGTGAGAAGCGTAGGTAAACGAGATGTAAAACCGAAAGCCCGTCCAAAGTCGAAAGGCACGGACTGAGTATTAATAATAATAAACTGTTACATATTATTACTCAGCATTTCATTATTAACTGGCAAATTATGTACAGATTACAACAGTACAATGTTGTCAAAACAAGCTCCAACTTTCTTTGTTATTTCTTTGATTGATAAAATGTTTATTTCGTTTGCAGTCGTTAACTTTCTGAGCGAATGAAACTTACGACTCGAATGATGACAATGACTTCGTCCAATTCACATCTGTGGAAAGTTTTCCTATCCTCACTTGCAATAATCGTTTCTCGAAATTCGAAAGCGCCGTAGCTTACCGCTCCCTATCGATCCCTTAGAAAATCGAGAACGGAAAGTATTTATATACTACAATGAATTCCAAGGATCCCAGGGGAGAGAAACGAGCCGGAGAGACGTGACGATTTATTCTATCGCATGCAAACTTCATCAGTCGAATCAATTACTATCGAGTCGTAAAATTCCGGAATTCTCTTCAAGATTACGTTGAATACAGCTAAATTGTCCTCCGTTCTTACTGATATCACGATGTCTATCAAGAAGAAGACTACTTCGTAATATGTTTATCTTTCCCTATCCATAACCTGGCACCCAAACATTCTTCATTTCCCCATAGAATTAGTCTTGCGAATTACATCGTTTCGCCGTCGCTTCTTCGTCTGAAATAAGAAAGACGTCCTTTTCTATTCTGGATACTTAGTAACCGGCGCGACCTTCAGACAACTTGCTTTTTCTTTCAAGATATCGAAAAGTGCAATTTCGGTCGTCGTGATTAAAGTCTGCGTTGCCATACCGAAGACACTACAAAGCGAGCGCTATTTTAATATATTACTATTATTATATATTATATAAATTTAATATATTTAATATTTAATTAATTACAGAATAGCAAGCAACCTATCAATACTGAATGATACACATTGTTTCCCACACACGTGGACTGGAAGCGAACGTGGAGTCGTTTGTAGCCTCCGACGAATATACGATAATGTGAAGATGGCAATCGCTTAATATTCGTGTTTTGTTCTGTTTACTTTACTTGTGTGTAATTGTTCTCTGAGTATAGCAAATAAAAGGAGATTGTTACTATTATATCGAGAAGAAAATTTATTATTTTTATTTTATTTATTATTTATCTATTATTTTTAGACATTTTACGATGAAATCGAAGGAGATCAGTATCAGTATAAGGAGTAATAAGTATTAATTAATATCAATCAATGATTTCTTGTGGTGGTCTTGGAAAAGTAGCAAATACCACAAGCGTTACAAACTGCATTAGATACAAACATAATGAGCTGAAGCATCAAAATCGAACAACGAAGTTGTCAAGAACAATCCGCACGATTTAAAAATAAATATAAGGAGGCATGGAACATGTAAACAAAAAGATATTGATAAGCATCCTTGTATGAGAAAATTATTCAACGATTCATTTTTTCTATTTTTTCTAGTATTTTCTCTAGTTCTGACTCCGAGGATGAAAGGACGAACATTCCAAGCACATCCCAAAATGTAGTGAGTGAAATTGAAATTGCAATTGACATAGTGGATAAAACGAAGCCTGTTTCCCTCACTCTCTTAGCCAAAATCGTCACCAACAAATCCGATGGTTCCGTGCGCTAGACACGCCCATCCTTAGCTTTCCTCCGCCACAGCATCGTCTCCGAAGACAACTGATTTTCCATCCGTCGAACAGTCAACATCCTTTGACCGGGAATACACCCGTAGATCAGTCACTCACTCATCTTATACATACGCACCAGCGTAACTATCTTCTTTACAAGTTGTTAGAATAAACGTTGATTTATAACTTACTATACAGTGTTATATTCATTGAACCACCTCTATTATCTTAACCGAAACAGGGGAACGACTATTTCGCGGCGTCGATTAACCAAATCGTAGCAAGAATTTACGCCTCTCGCTGACGCGTTTTCCTAGCGACCGCGTCTCTCCGTGAACGGTCGTAACATTCAGAGTTCATATTTTTCCAAAGATCAGACACTTCACCTGTCTGTCTGTCGCCTTCAACGTCAGAAGTGCGAAAAAGTTGCCAAGTGAGCTACTACAAAGAAAATAGAGGCAATAATTGTTGTATATGTCGGAGATGTAGGGACACCGGGCCTTTCTTTTGGAATTTTGGGAAGATCCCCAATACTTTGGTCTAAACTATTTATTATAGCTGTATTTAAATAATAGATCTTAGAAGTAGTAGTTGTGATACGATCTGATTATGTTTGTCCGAGATTTGTAACAGTGGGCTTGGGCTCGAGGTAACACAACTGGTCGCCGAATGTAGCCACGGTCACGGGATGAACGTTTTTACTTAACAGAAGAAGTACCAATATTGAGGGACACACGCTGTATTAACAAACAAGCCCCGGGCAGGAGCAAAGACGGCTCTACGCGGGTCTGCCTAGTAACGGCGCCTGGAATTTTGTTGATATCCCCGGTCAATATGCAATTGACAAATGTGATCGTATCAGTCTTTTATTCTTGTGATCACCTTGGAGAGTTTACACACATCGTCTTGTCAGTCAGTCAGAAAGATACCGTGCGTCACAGCTAACGTCACTTTGTGTTTCAAAACATATTCAATTGTACAAAGAGTTTTCCCGTTGAACGTGGATTCGTTATTGAACCTAAAAACATTGTCTTTGATATCAAGAGTGTCTAATCACCACGTTTAATTGTCAAACTCTGTTAATAATTGTAAATATAATCTCCATTGCAGAACAACGATGGCTTGTCCTAATGAAGATACGATACACGCCCCTAACCGATATATATATTGCAAAAAGATCATGTGCAGAAAATACACAAAATGCACAAATGCTCGTAGAGATAGATAGATAAGAAACGCTCGTAAACCTAAGCATCTTGATGAATACCATTAACAAAATTAAAGGATCTAGGCAATTACAAGATGTGTTTACACGCGCCATGGTACGTTAGAAACGAGGACATTCGGAAAGACTTGGGAATACCAACGGTCAAGGAGGAGATTAACAGAAGTGCAAGAAGGTACAGAAAAAGAATAGCAACGTACCCGAACCGGCTGGCAGCGGAGACGGTCGGCGCAACAAACATAAAAAGAAGACTAAAAAGGGAACACCCAACAGATCTCACAAAGGACATAGACTAACATACAAACACTCACCACACTAAAGAAATAAATCAATAAAATTCGAAGATGGTATCCCACTGGGGGTAGCCATCCACATGTTATATTATTATACCACTAAGCTATAATATTTTACCAAATGTCCTACTGGACAAATTGTAAAATGTAAATAAATAAAAAAAAGAGATGTGTTTATTATCAGAAAATTAAAGGATTTGGGGAGAACAAAGGACAAATGGGGAGAACATCTTCAGCATTTAGTATAAATGTAGATCAAATTATGGGTCCTTATCAAGGCCAGCAAATTTTAAAACTATACCTATGAAGATTAAGCTTGTTTATATTTGTCAAGCATATATTGTAAGAAGGACATTAACAACAATTTTAAGTAAATCGTAAGGGACAACGTATCAAAGTTGAAAGTGTAACGACCACCCAGGAAACAGGTGTAATGATCACCCAAGACGCAGGCATTCCGCTGACATCGGATATGTCGATAACACCTAGCATTATGATAACTAAGACAAAAGACAACAGCCAGACCCCTACCCATAAGATATGAGTCATAATAAAGAAATAAAAACCCCGGTCCTTTAGACAGTAACCTCAGTTTGTAACCTGCAGTTAATAAAGCATACGAATGAGCTTTTGCTCATTCTCTTACTTATAAAACTTCGTCCTTTTATTACGTGACAGAAGCTTCGTCACAATGTAATCTATTACAAAATACGATAATTTTCATAATTAGATGCGATCATTTTCTTACTGAAGAAAGGAATTTCAGCTCGTGAAATGTGTAAAAAGTAGTCTCCTATAATAGCAAGAAAATTAATAGAAAACGTAGCAGTACGTTGCAGTCATTGGACCGTATGAGGGACTCTTAAAGAAATGAATTTTAAGGCAGTAGAGAAAGAAAAAAAGCCGTAATAAGTGAGAAAAATATGTAAACCCATTTGGCGTTTGCCAAAAACAATGTATATAGATAAAACTGTAGAAAAGATACTTTTTCATCGATTTTAATGATTTCTTAGTGCCCTGCAAAACTTAACGATTTGAGCAACTTTTTCCTATACATGAAAGTATCGATCGACTATAGTTTTCAACAAATTCGCAAAAATTATCGTACTACTACTATACATTTTACCAATAATTGTATATCCGCGGTAGCGTGCGCGCCTGCATTAGTTGCCAATTATCGTTAGGATGACCTAGTCGAAACCTGATCTTTATCCTCTGAGAGAGGACACACATCCTAATCGCTTATCGTATGCGTATATAACTAGTATTCCGTAGACAGACGAGCTCAGGATTTTTGAGATTATTCGCTACAGTCAGTCGGCGGAAACATCAGAAATGAGTCAAGAAGGTAGTGAACGGATTAAGTCTGCAAAATTACAATCGCTAGCATCTGTCCGGGCTGCTTACGATACAGAGACGTTCAGTAATGGTATCATAGTACAAACCTCTTCGGTGAACTCAAACAATAGAACAAAATCTTCATATAAAAAATGATCATCTTATCGACCTCATCCTGGCCTCTGCAGAATAATTTGAATGATAAGAGTTTTGGTTTCATAGAAGCTGTCGACAACTACCTCAAGACTTTCTTTGAAAAGAATCCATCGACTTGCAAAAATAGAGGATAGTTGTGGGAAATAAATAATTTTATCAATCACCCACATTTCCCGGATTATTTTCGAACGTAGTAGAAACTGCGTGATAAAACTATATCACCGTAAAACGTAATTCTCTATGTATTTACACCTATATTATAATAGGATAAATATTGGCTTTAGCAAAATAAGTGCGTAAATACATAATGTTTATGTAAATACAGAACATTTTGTGTCTTTTTCTATATCTAATAAATATACACATGTTTCAGTTCATTTTATTATAGACAGGAAAGTGGGAGTCGACGACTTCTTATATTTTTCAAACGTAAAACGAGCGTCCCATGCTGGCAACCCTTTCTCCATTCTTTCCACGAGCTACCGTGATAACGTTATATAACTGGCATCTAACTAAATACCCGCGAAATCCGCCAACACGAAAGAGAGTATGAGAGCTAAACCGCGGGAACCAACCGCACCTACACAGATCAGCCCAAGAAGAGTTATAGCTATCGAGATGACGGAAGAGCAACTCTCCAGACTTCAATCCGAAACCCGGAATCAGCAAGGGAGCTTTGCGCAATACAAAAGAAGATTCGCGTCACTGTGGAAGAATTTATCAATAGCATGGCAGTATACGGAGATATCGGAAATATTAGCGGAGAGAACTCCCTACGAAGCTTGCAGCTCCTGCTGTAAAGAGAAACCACAATCTGGTGGCAAGGCGCCAAGAAGGACGTCGACGAGTGAAACAAGGCGTCTTCGAACCGCATTCGTACCAAGGAACGAAACCTACCAGACGTACATGAAGTTTTTCGCCACAAAACAATATGTTTCCACGCCGATGGACAGTTTTGTCGCGAAGAAACGAGCAGCATTGGCACAGCTGAAGTACAGTCATTCTGAAAAATTGAGTTAAATATAATCTACGACCTCATAAGACTACCCATCAGGGAAAAGATTCCCAGGACAACTTTCGCTTGACTTTCACAAAACCGATATTAAATGGGCTACACTTTTTATGGTAATGATCACAACAGCGATGCATGATAAATCATTCATCAATTGATTTCATTGATTCAAGAGAACGAGAAATATCGCTACATACAGTCGGATGGAACACTAATGCACACGGCTTGGCATCAATAACAACGGAGATGGTTAGAGAATTCTTTGAAAAGTAGAATTGCCTCCCAAGGAATAATGGAATTCGTGTCTTACATCTCCGGATTTCTTATTTCGAAGAATATTGAACATAATGTTCGTAAGGACAGACAGCGCACTATTAATCATTAGAAAATAGACATAGAAAAGTATAAAAAGGAAATATAGAAAATTTTTCTCAGCATTGTTTCTTTTGAGCATGATTATGTAGGATCCAATGAATAGTCATACTGCAAATATAGCACCGAAATAATTTCTTATGTATGCAATTAGTTACATAGTTAAAACAATGAAAAAGAAGTTAACTGTGTGCTACAGTTAGAGAACGATGGAATTTCATCTAAACTGATAAGGATAAAAAATCGAATACTTTTTGTTAAAACCAATAATGAAAATGAAAATTCTCAAAATAGGAGGAGTCATTACAATTTGTAAAACCGCGAAAAAGGTTTCGAGGAGCACTCAAAATTTATCTTACATTAAATATGTACTCGAAAAGTTAATGATTCATGCCAATCTAATCTGCAAGCAAATGGATGTTCGAACGCCATTTCTAAAGTTAAGTCTAAAGTATACGTTCACCCTCCTGATAATTACAAAATCAAAATAAACGAAGTATGTTTTTTTACAGAGAAAGTCCACAGGATTGGCACGAGTGTTGTCATTTTCACGATTTCATATATAAACTATAGCATATATAATAATTATATAATTTCAAACTATTGAAAATGACAACGTGAGTTCTCGCTCGCCATCTATATGCTGACGGCTAGTTACAAAAGGGAGTAATTAGAAGATATTACTAGACACGGTCGATAGACCAGATCGATAGTTTTAAGACTTCCTTTTCGCTCATTCGTTCGTGTCCCTTCCAAGTGTGCGCAATAAAGGTTTTTTTTGGCTCCGAGAAGTGTGGTGTTTTTCATCCGATTAATAAAGTAATAACTAACACGATCCTACCTCTAAATATAAATATAACAACACAAACTTTAAAAGATGGAACTGTGATTATTATTTCTATATAGAAGAAATATATAGAAATAAGATTTCCATAATTTTATATGTAGATGATCTATTGATTTCTAGTACTAATATAAAAACTATAAAAAATTAAGTTAATGTTAAATTAATGATTTATGCCTAGTAAATCAATGTTTAGGAATTGAAGTGGAATATTATAAAGATGAAATGAAAATGCTTTTAAGTCAGAAAAATTACATAAAAGGCTGTGCTGAAAAATATGCAGTTAGAATTCAGAAATCATGATATTCATATGGAAATAAATCTAAAACTAGAACCCAAACAGAAAATATAGATAAACAATTGAAGCATGTATAGAAATTTAATTGAAACTTCATTATGTATATGTAGCAAATGAAACTTAGCTGGATGTATTCTTCCTAGTAAATTATTTAAGTTATCAGAACAGTCAAGGCAGTACACGCTACAAATATTCATTACGTGTTTTTAAATATTTGTCTTACACTAGTTCTATAAAATTAATGTATGATTCAAGTTATAATGAAGAAATGGATGCTTATATAAACACTGACTGAGCTTGGTTGAAGCATGGGTAGCAGGTATAGTTGACAAAAAATCCACAAAAGAAATATTTGTTTGTGTATTTGGAAATACAGATTTATGGAGGTCGCAGAAACAAAAGACTATCTCCAGAGATTCAAGTCATACTGAATACTATGCTTTAGTTAATTGTTAGTTGTTAATTGTTAATTGTAGTTAATAAACTGTGTTCCACCGAAGGTTACACATGGTCTGTAAAGGTATATTCTGGACGAAAAATCACCGGAAATAAGCAAGTTGACATAGCTGAAAACGCCTGCATTGAACTTGCAGATAAATTGCTAAATGAAGGACGAACTTTGTTTGTCGACAACTTTTATACTAGCTATCTGTTAGCAGTGAAATTTTTAAATTTTAGGACGCATGTCATTGGAACTGTATGGCACAACAAAAAATATATGCCCCATTCTGTAACGTCATAGCAGTTGAAGAAAGGTGAAATGATAGAATATCATAGAAGAAATGTTAGAATATTATCAACAAAACATGCACCCATTATGATTTCAAGTTCAAATTCTACATATCACAGATGTCCTTCGAAACAGAAACCTTTGGCAGTAATAGCATATAATAATAGAAAAATTGGTATCGACAGAACTGACCAGATGGTCTCATATGCCACTACGATACGAAAAAGCATCAAGTGGTATCGGAAATTAACACTACCTTTACTCTTAGGAACAACTATAGTAAATGCTCATATTGTGTACCAAACAGCCACAAACAAAAAATACCGATAAGAAAATTTCGGGAAATTCTCGTTTCCGAATGGTCCTCAGAAAATACTGTGCCCGACAACCATCCGAAGAAAACGACGAAGGTGGCCCACCATTTGGAGATACGTAAGAATCAGGAGGGCAAGCCTATAAGAAGGATGCACCCTATGTTATAAGAAGAAGAGGCAAACTGTCTCAAGTAAATAAGTAAGTAAAAACATGAAAATAACTATAACATATTGTTCGAAGTGGCAAAAATCATATCAAATGTATTTGGAATGTTTTAACGAATACCATGAGATATGGCATAATGTAATATTTTAAATTAATAAAATTAATATTTATTAATTATCAATTTTAAATCAATAATTTATTAATAAATTAATAAAAAGTATGATACAATGTGGATTTAATATTTTTATGTTGTATAACCTATATATAATATTGTATATTTAATTAACTCGAACAAGAAGAGCGTCATCATACGTTGGTGACGGAGCCCCCACGGAAGTATACCCGTCGCACCGATATGTACGACGTGGCGACGAACGTGCTAAGCAGAGTGTGTATGATTTCTGATGCATAAAAAGTTAGACTATTGGATTGCTGTGCAGATGCTGAAGAATAAACATAATACGTGCTTTAGTATATTCTGGATAAATTGAGCATAACTACATAATTAACTTTATATCATTATTAATAAATTAATTGTGTGATCCTTTTATTGTATGTAATTTTTCCAAATATCCTTGATTACATTAGAAGTGATAATTGAACATGTTCCCAATTATGGTATATTACAATATCATTTACAAAAATTGATTAAATTAGCAGCATTGTAATTTTAAAGTACAATAAATAACGTTTTGTAAAAAACAATGGATAAACCTAATTTTTTTTTACGATTAACCGAGATTTATAATATTTCTGAAAGTGACTTTATTTAAATATATATCAGTATATACTAAACAACGATATGTATTTATTTTTGAGTTATATAAATTTTAAAAATGATAAATTCTTTTTAAATTTATCAAGAGTATGTACATTTAAATTTTATGGACAATTAAAAGAAGAAACATTGTTTACCTACACATAGCACAACCCATTCAATATTGAAGAACAATTATATAATTTATTATTCATAACATGTTTCAATCCCATGATCATCTCATGTTATTCATGATCAGAAAAGAGGATCAGTTATGCCATCAACGAAAATATACTTTCAAAGAAAGGACGCTCACCTACATATGCATAGAAATCCCCGTGCTTGTGCGAGTTGTGCGCCTATTTTTCGTTGGTCGATAGTGTCGCCATCATTGAAATAGTCGCCAATGTCGCCATGCGCCGATAATCTGTAGTTGATAACGTTCACTAAATTTTAACATTCTTTCAATTTTGCAATCTTCAGTAAGTGACTCTCGTACGCTATTATAACTTAAACACGAATTTGCAAAGCGTATCTTCCTGGGACTCTCAGTTTTTGGAAAAACCAATTTTGAGAAAAATTGCAAATTTTCAACTTTGAAGATGTTTTGTGGATCTTTACGATAACAGCCAATGAAATAACATATTTTGTTATTGCACTATAACCATTTAAATGTGTTTAAATAACAATCAAAGTGAAAGAGATACCTGAAACGCAGCATGTTTCGCTTACATTTACCAATTTATCTCAAAAACTGAAAATCTGGAAGAAAATCTAACCGTACCACGTGAGAAGGCAGATTTTTGCTAAGGAAAGCGTCAGGAAAAATTTAAGATCATGTTTTGATTCCAACGTAAAGCGAAAAAATTTGGCAAAATACGTGGCGACGGAAATGATACACAATGTTTACGGTTACCTTGTTTGTTGCTCAGCACAACGAAACCATTAAACCTCGACCTTTAGTTACCGCTACATGTTTTGCCAAACTATTTCGTTTTTACATCGAAATTAGAACATAACCTTTTAGTTTTTCTTGGTGTTTTCCTTTAGCAAAAATGCTTGCTCTATCGCGTGCTAAGGTGAGATTTTCTCCTAGACCTTTAGTTTTTGAAATAAACTGAGAAATATAAGCAAAGAATGGTGTGTCTTAGGTGTTCTTTTCCCTTTGATCATTATTTAAACATGTTTAAATGGTTATAATGCAATAGCAAAATATATCATTTTATTCGGGACAGTACACAACATTTTTTCATTTTAACAGCAACTCGATGGCTGCTACTATAAAAGCACAAAACACTTCCAAAGTCGGAGATTTGCAATGTTTTTTAAAATTAATTTTTCCGAAAACTGAATTCTAGGAAAAAACGGTTTGGAGATTCGTGTTTAGTTTACAAAAGTCTATAAGAACCGTCTATTGAAAGTAACAAAATTAAATACGTGTTGGACAAATCGGTTTCAACATACACTTGAAAATCAATATTTCGAATTTACAGTTTTCGTATGTGTAAATCGATATAAACTGATTTAGATTTTATACGGAAAATTTACCAATATAAGTGAACTTGCAAGAAAATGCCGTCGTTACCGGTTTTCTATGGAACTTGTTTTAACTGTTTCGTTTATACATATAATGTATAAGAAAAATAAAAAACATTAGTCGAACTAGGATGACTTAAAAAAAAAAATAAAAAGCGCTGAAAAGAAAGGAATACGACAAAGATCTGTTTGTTGATTCCAATATTTGCTTAATACGAACGAAGTTCTCGCTTTCTGAGTCCTTGGCCAAGAGCGTTAATTATATGAAATTCTGTTAATTTTAATTTCGTCAAATCAAATAACGTGTTTCTAATCGGAAAGAAACGATTTTGTTTTTTATCGAAAATCAATCAAACTATGTACAATATTTTCTTCTTAATCTTCATCTTCGCCTATTAAGTTTGCTTGCCATACCTCGTATTAACAATTCAGCACCGATGCTTGCTGACACCTCACTCTTCGCTTCATGTCTTAACACTGCGAATAGCAGCTCTGGACTAACGTCCTACTGAATAAGGTCTATCGATATAAACCGAAAATTCTGTGTTGAAGTAAACACCTTGCCTTTGTCTACAACAGTGGTTCCCAACTTTTTTTTACTCATGGCGCATTTTAGGGAAGGTACAGATATTTTGGCGTTTTTTATATACAAACTTTAAAATTTACAATAGCAGATATGACTGTGCGATTAAAAAAAAAAGAAAGCGTATCTATAATTTACGACAGGGCGCAACTTTTGAGAATGACTGCTCTACAAGATTAATTTGTTTCAAGGTCTATTTCTTATGATGTTATTGTTCTAAAAATATCGTTTGCTATGATTATTGAATATTCAAAACTTGTGCTTTCTAAAACAATAATCAAGGAAGTAACAATGATAATTTTTATTATTTCAAATTTTATTTAAAAATAAATAGCACTTTTTAGAGATAGAATAGAATTAGAGAGAGAATAGAATTTTTGTGTAATTGGTTCAGTTGCTATATTTATTACTGTAAATTTTTCGTTTAAACCATTTTCGTAAATCTTAGTTACTATAAACACTAACAAGTAATAATCAACAGCGGAATGGCGGGTTCGAAACGGCTCGATGATTTCAATATTAGGCTGGCCTAAAAAATTAATAAAAACATATATTACATTATTGATTTACGAAAAAACAATTTGAATAATAATTGTAGCAATCGCACTAACATGTTAGCTTGTAAGAAGGCAATACCGTTTCGCAAATTTGTCTCAATAACTCACTTCATATGTACTGCATTTGTCCATCTACAATTAAAATTTTAAGTATGAATCTACATTTACAATTATATGTAAATATGAAATTTTCTAACATATAAGATATAATATATATTTTATAATATATATTTTCCTTCGCGTGACACATAAATGTATTGTGTATATATGTATATCATGAATATATGACCAGAAATTTGTCCGGACACAACCGGGAGACATTCTCGAGGCAAACCTCGGTGTGAGATATGTATTGCATTGACGTAACTCGATCTGATATCAAAAAATATAATTTTCTTTATTTTTTCTTATATTGTTACGAGATGATCTTAGACAAACTATTGAGAGTCGTACGATTAAAATAATACCAAACACGTTTACATTTGTATTAATTTTTGTATTAATTGAAAGTTAAATGGGCAATGTTTAATTGACGAAGTGGAAGATTTTGAAAAACTGACAGAATACATATACATATATATATATGTCGGAGATGAAAGGAAAACTGGAGCCTTCCCTTTGCAATTTTGAGGAAGCCTTCTAATGCTTTAGCCTAGATTTTATCATAACTGTAATTAAGCAATTGTCATTTGTAATTGTTTGATATTTGTGAAAGCGAAAGTGGGTTCGAGGTGACAACTGGTCGCCGAACGTAGCCACGGTCACGGGATAAACGTTTTGCCTGACGAAGGTGTGGATCAGTTGTATTGTTCTCCCTAGAAATCACATAGAATTGTACTTTAGAGATGTCGATATAATCACACGTTTCCAAAGAGTATACAACAAACTTTTGACAGAAATTGCCTAGCAACAACGATTGGAACCTTCTCGATGCCTCCAGCGAGCATATAACAAACAAATGCAGTCGTATAGCGAAAAAGATTTTCATCAGATATTCTTTCGTGTGATCGCCTTGGAAAGTGATACATCGAGCAATTTACCGAGTGTCTCAGCAATCGTATTTTTGTGTTTAAAATTATTCTACACATAGTAAAGAGTTATCCCGTTGATCGTGGATTCGTTTGAACCCCGGAACATTGTTAATAGCGTTAATTAAATTCATTATTCGTAAAACCTATCAATCGTTAAATTTATTATTCGTAAGACATATTATTCGTTCCTCTTATTGTTCGTTAAACTTATTATTCTTTAATCTAATTATTAGTTAAACTTATCGTTTGTTAATCTTATCATTTATTAAACTCATTATTCATAATATTTTGTAAAATCTTGTTTATTCGCGTAAATATATTCTCTGTTTCGTAAAACAATGGCTAATTCAAACGAAGAATCATTACGCGTCTTAAATCCTAATGATAACCCGACATATATATATATATATATGTAATCAGACTGTATTTGTAGCGTTTAATAATAATAATGACAATAAATATAAAGAAATAAAGATAAGAAATTGTAAATAAATTGAAAATATTTAAATTATCTTTTATTATTATAGATATCTATTAAAATCACCGTATGGAATGCAATATAATCAGGTTCTTTGTTAGGAACTATTTTTCCAGATTATAAAACATGTGGACTATTTCTTTATCCTCTATTTCACTTTCTAGTTCTGTGTTTATTATTTCTTTTGATGATTCTATTGTATTCTGTACAATAGACTCTTCTTTTTCGCATTCCGTAATCCGCTCTGCTATCTCTTTTGGATTCAAAATTTCATTTTTACAAATTTAGTCTTGAGTTTTGATCCTTGGACCCGCTTCGAAATTTTCACACGACGATTGACGTTTCAAAAGTTTCCTCTACGCATTTTTAATACTTCTTGGCATTACATCGCTCCGTGATTTTGAAATAAAATTTATACAATCTTTAATATCACAGATGAGAAAAAATTCAAATGCTCTCGGACTGGCATATCTGTGAAAAAAAGCAGCGGTAATTTATGTGTACCTGTGGAATTGGCACAAAATGCCACAGTTACATGATCTTTTCCCATTTTACTGCCATCCACCCATCATCCACCTCGTGGTTGTAAACTTGTTTCGTCCATGTTATAAATATCGTCTTCCTTAAGATCTTCGTTATGCAAAATTTCTGTTAATTGTTCAGTGAAGTTTTGTGTTGCTAATTCATCAGGATCAGCTCTCTCTTCATGTTTGGATACTTGACGTATTCCGTATCTGGATTTAAAATGCTGGAGCCATTCTTGACTGACCGTAAAATTTGATAAACGCTCACCTTACTAAGAACCATTCGTATAATCGGGCTTCCATATCTTCATACGAAGATGCCCGTTGCCTCTGAGACTGAGACTTGAGATTTTCGCTCAATTCACGAATAGATGTCGATTGCTCCCTGTATCTTCTTATGGTTCTTTGACTTATACCATGTTTGATAGCAAGATCATCGATACTTAAACACTCTTCTAACTTCTGCAGAATTTATAAACATTTTCCCACAGTCACTTTGTATCTCTTCCCTGAAGATGCCATTATGAAATCTTTTTTTCACTTTGACAATATTTGAAAGTCATAAAAAATTTTTACTGGCACAAAGAACTCTTCACAATGTATTAATAATTGTTTTCAAAGGTATCATAGCATTGGCAACGAATATTACGTCACAGATGTTATGGTTTCAGACGACGAATTCTGTGGATGATGATAAGGATGCACTGGAAAAATCTGGCAACAAAGTGTAAAAAGTGATCAATCTTTTGCCAAGAGAATTAAGTTAAATATATTAAAGATATGTTGTGTTAAGTTTAAATAATGTTATTTATATTGTGTTACTCGAAACTCCTAATGTGGAATTGATTATAATAAGCTTACAAAAAAATTTTAATAATCATTTTGTAAATACTTTATTTCAATAATGCCCACGTCTGGTTGCTAATAGATTTAATTTTTTTTATAATTGTATATACTGAACAATTTTTTAAACTAAAGAAATATACGTATATATATGTAAGTAGAAGTGGTAAAAGACTTCAAGCCTCACTCTAAACTGCACGTCGACTGTATCATATTACATTCTATTTATTCTATCTTCTCACTCGCACTGCCTGCTTCTCATCCTTACTTTCGATTCATACACGGTACAACACAGTACAATTAACACAAGTCGGATAATTTGGTCCAATTGTTAGAAAGTCATCTCTCCAGATATATGGTCATTCCGTTACTCCTGATCTCGATCATTGGCCACATAGCCGAACATTACTGTACTTATTTATATAGGAGATTTATTGAAAAAAATGTATTGAAAAAAATGGAATGTTAATTTAGTTTATATTCGATTAAGTAAACTTTTATTATTTGAATGAGAAATGATAAGTAGCGATTGAAGGAGTCGATGAACTTCTATAACGTACACAACGTACGTACGTAAGTATATATATGTATGTATATGTAATAACTGCTTATTTCTTATCCCTAGACGGATCAAATGCAGCTTACTACTTCAAATATCGTTTAAAGTACAGTAAAGTTGTAAATATGTCTGTATTATAATTTGTGATTTTATTATCTATTCTACAATCGTAATTATACGTTATATTCCGATACGTGTGACATATTCTGACACATATGTAGTACATATGTATGTCCTATTTAGGTACTGGCTGTTAGTACGTTATAACAGGTTATAGTAAGTTTGAAACTCTTCTAATGTGCATGGGGCCGCCTTGTTTATAGTGTCAAGTGAGGGAATCTTTATTCAATTGACAGTATCTTCAGATTGATAAAAAGATTTTAAGAAACGGTGTGTATATTCTATCATATAATTCTTCTTTCAGTATTGTCGAGAATCATTTAAAACATCATAAATAAACAGAAACATAAAACATTTATTACTTTAACCTATCAAGTAAAACCATTATACCAATATATAGAAGGATATTATTGTTATATCTTTTTTATATTTATATCTTTTAATATTAAACGTTATTATTACCATTATTATTAATTATCATTTATATTTTTTTTATATGATAGCATGACAAAATTCATTTCCATTACTAATGGAGGATCGAAATAAATTGCAATCAGAATGGAAAAGACCAGACGAAGTAATGCAGTTGCATCGTTTAAAAATGAAGAAGCGTGCCCTACAAGCACGTATAAACAATACACGCATTAATAAGAAAAATTTAGAATCAGAGCCTACACAAAAATCCAATAATCAAAATATTGTGTCCAATCATTGTGTAGGTCAAAAGCGAAAGAATCCTTTCATTAAAGATGAAACAGATAAAAAGTTTAATATAACACCTCCAGACATAGAAGCTAGTAATGATAATACACTATTTGAATTATTAAAAATAAAAGTCCCAAAAGTGAGTGAAACAGAAAACTCAATAAATGATTGTTCTTTAACATTTAGCAATGCATTTTTACAATTGGAAGCAAGTAAGAATATTTTGGATTTAGAAATACCGAAAGGTGAAAAATATATTCCAATAGATTGGACTTTAAAAACTAAAATGAGATTTATGTCTCCAAAACCATTTCCTTGGAATTGTAAATTGAAAACTAGCGAAGAAGCTTCTGGTACTACTGGTTTCGTAAGATGTTTGGATATTAGTGAACAACATTCAACTTTAGATACTAGTCCAAATGCAAGGTAATTTTTATATATTTTGTATATTTTAATATAATAAATAAATATATATATATATTAAATATTTACTAAATTTAAAAAAAATATATATATATCAATTAAAATATTTGTTAAACAGGTTACACCAATGCTGTTTAATATGGCAGCACCCTTCATTACCATGGTTGGAGTTATTTCCTCGTTCTACTGGGAAAGTAAGTGCAAATTTAACAAGTAATTCTATGATAGTAAACAACATGCTCATTAAAGAAGCTTTATACAAAGAATGGAGTGAAAGCTTTAGGTCACTTTTTCATTTATTGAGAGCACGACAATGTCCATATTTTTATGTTTGTGCGACCAATTTTACTGTATTATTCCGCGCTGCTGGAATTTGTGGAATTTCTGAAGCTCATGCACTTTTGACACCTACAACACGTGGCTTTCGACAGTCTTTAAAACAGGAAGGTATGAACAAATTATAATATGTAGTGAAAATTTTTGACGTCATTTTATTTTTCATTTGCACATGTTTCATAGAAATTGAATATACAATGCCTTTGAGAAAAGATTGTAAACGGCAATCAGATGTAACTGATTCAGGATGTGATACAGCAGATTCAGCTACATCATTGAGCTATACAGAGAATCAAAATCTTGATGATGAGGAAGATGAAACACAAGATGAATGGCTACAGAGCTTAGGAGTTGAAAATTCTGAAATTCGTAAAATTAATAATTCTCAAGTAATTTTACAGCATGTACAATTTTTTTTTATTTCTATACCGATACTAATTTTTTAAGATTTTTCTCTAGGCAAGAATGACATTAGAAAAAGAAACTGAACTGGACAATATGAAACAATCCTTGATTTTTGTAAAAGGTGTAGAGTCACAAGCTTTATTTAACTTTTTAATTAATTGTAAATCTGCTATTACAACAACTGGTCCTTTAGCAGGAGTACCTCCAACTCTTTTATCACCAGTAGCTTTTCACGGCGCAACATTAAAGCCAATTAGGGTAAAATATTTTTATATCTACAGTTGTGATACATAATAGAGTTATAAATTATTTTCATTTTTTACAGGTTAAAGAAAGCATAGTTCGTGTTGACAGTGAAAAATATTTTTCTCTGGAATTAAAAGGACCCCTCCTACCACATGTCTTACCTTCACTCTGTTCTTTAATGAAATCTAGTCAGTTAGAACAATATTCTGCAAGTTGTGCACGGTTACACTCAACAACTTCATTTTCAGCAATGAAAAATAATTTTGGTAAATGTTTTCTTCCTTAAAATTATGATTGTTTACATAAAAATCATATGAACAGTATATAATGTTTGTATTTTCACAGAACAAATGGAATTAGGAAATATACCAAAAATTCCAGAAAATGTTTTTGGTAAAGAGAATTTGAGCGATTGTGGATTCAGTAGCGAGTTATTAAAGGATTTTTGTAGTCCTAACCCAACAAATATTCAAATTATAGAAAATATTAAATTTTCAAATAATTCGTATACATGGTCTTGACAAATAATTGTAATAATGTAGGAGATTATAGCAAAGTTTTAATTGATTATATTTATTAATTAGTTTGAAGAAAAGAATTTAGATATTAGGATAATATGATTTATTCTCAAAACTAATCATCAATGAAATCAATTAATCGAAGTTATTTGGAGATTTAAAATTCATTGGGCCAGTGAACATCAAATTAAAATATTAAATATAAGGATCATCCGATGTTAACATAATATTAATTAGGACAGTAATAATTATTACCATTGCTATTGAAATCTATACATTGACTACAATAATGATTAAATGTATAACAGATCATTTACAAAACTGGCACTATATTAAAATCAGTAGAATAACCATAATTTGTGAAAATTTTTTAATGAAACAGTTATTTTACTGTGTAATAAATATTTAACAATAAATGATAATCGTTTATTCGATCTGTTTTAAAACAAAGTCGCTATAAAATTTAAATACTTTAAAACTATATTCTATCTTACCGTTGTTTCAATCTAATTATATTTGTTAATTAATTACAGTAGATGCACTGTAGATGCACTGTAGATGCACAGAAGATGCAAGTTAGTTTTTATATAAAACATGTGCAGAAAATAATAATTAATAAACTATTATAACTTATATAATTTTAATAGAAATAAAATTAATTTTTATCGGTAAAAATGTTTTTAATATCTAAAAATTGTATTAAATTTACAAAAAAATATTGTTAATAAAAATCGTATAAAAATAATGTTGCTATATTTTTATTTGATTTTCTTCACTTTTGATGTTTTTTGTTTAACTACTCACAGAATATATTGGTCCTGCGAAAATATACGTAACAATAATTCATTACAGACAAATTTTCAAACGGGGGCGCGACGAAGGTGGGGTTCGCGGATGGACTACCCCTAAAAATAACGAATCGATATTCGCTCGCTGCCCCCGAATTGGTCGCCCGGTCACCTCGAGCGTGAACAATCAATTTATTGTAATAAGGTATTGTTTTGCTTATTTGTCTTCGGTAAATATTTAGTTTAATAAAGATAGAAATATTTTTTCGACTATTTAGAAATATAATATTTAAATTTATATTTTATCTAATATTTCAATTATACTGTAAAAGATTTTTATTTTGCACGAAAAATTTTTTAAAATTTTATTGATCATGTTACAAATTGTGCAATCTATTACAGTTTACGTGAACATATGTATATTGTATATTTTACGCATACATTGAGCACGAGTACATATGTATCCATGTCATGATTACGTCAGTACCCATTGCAGTCTGTGCTCATCGTATTGCGATTCTCTTCAACGAGCAGTTTCATGTTCCAAGGTCTTTTATGCGAGTTCAATTTTCGAATCGAATAATGCACTGATAATATTGCCCCCAATGGTATTGGTGAAAGCGACATTCGTATACTAGGAATTTCCTTTACCTTCCATTTAAAAATTGACTTTCTTGATTCAAAGCCAAATTTCTTTATAATGCCATCGCAATCGTTATCGTACTCTTAAAGATAGCTGAAAGTAGTGTTAGCCGTAAAGTGAGAATGGAACAAATCTTACCTTGCATGAAACGAGCAAGAACGCGAAAAAGGGAATTCGATTAATATGTAAATAAAAATAAATACAACGATGTGACTGAAGTGATGTTAAAAATTTTAATTATCAAGTACATAATTAATCTCCCCTGAAAGAGATGCACGGCAATTTGTGATCATGCGATATTTTAGAATTTCACAGTCTCAAAAGTAGACTGTAGGAGATAAAACAGGACGATGGAATTTTTCTCGAGAATAAAACAACCTCAAATCTGAAATACGAAGAAAGCATGGTTAGGGCGGTGTAGAGAGGTAGAGGGGAAAGTCCCTTCTCGCGAACGTCCGATCAGGCTGCCGAGAAGCAACCCTCGTACATAGGAGGGTTCAGGGTGGATAAAGCTGCTGGATACGTAGGGGGTAAGGGATTCGCGCGAAGGGAGGGGACCATCGGTGAAGGGCGGGGGAGGAAGATCCATAGCTGTGTTGGTGTGGTATTGCGTGTGCTTTACACGGAACTGGCGAAGCTAGGAGAACGACGAAAGAGAAACAAACGCTTCGACCTAACACGTTACGCGAAACAAGGATAGGAGTTGAGAACGAGAGAGAAGCTCGTTGAGAAACAAAGAGAAACATATACGATAAAAGTGCGCGTAGAAACGAGACGGAAATGAATGGTACGTGGGAGCAAGGGAGTGAGAGTGCAAGAGAGACCGACGCGGACAGGATCGCAATGTGCGAGAAGAAGAGAGAGGTCTCTCTCCCCATGATGTACGTATACATCCTGGTCCCTTATTCCCTGTACGTGCAAAGGGGGTTTCGAGAGGCTAGCAACGGTGGAGCCACGACAACGAGCTACAACCACGACGGCGAACACGACTACTACGACACCGCGTGGGGGTTGCACGAAGACCCCCTGGTGGGGTTCTGGCTGGCGACCCCACAGTCCCCCGCTGGAAATGATATCAGTCGCGACTCGGTCGAGGGAGCCCCAGCACGTGCCGTGCCCCTCGCAGAGTGAGCTCAATAGCTTGCTCGATTCTTTACTTGGTGTACGTTCTTCGCGTACGCTTTTTTTCGCGGTGCGCGTTTTCGCTCGAAACTGGTTATTTCGGGGAACACGTAAGGGTGTACGGTGGTTGTGGAAAAGGAAAAAGTGAAAACTTGCCGCGGTGTATTTTAACCTACCTCCTCTTCTTGGATTGTACTCGTCGATTGATTTCGTTGGTGATATTTTAATCTCACAAGACTTCCCGTAACTTTCATCCTCTCGTACAATCAAAGGTGAGTGAATCCGAAGAAAATGGCCTTTGGTTAGGGTGCATCCGTCTACCTACGTGAAATAATTTTTTACGCTTATCTTTCGCTCACTCCCGACTATCCCTTGTTTAATTTAAAAATGTTTGGCAAATCGCTGAGCAACACCAGGTTGTTTAATGATCTGAATCAATTATCGAGTCGAACCAACGATAGAAATTTTACAAGGGTGAAATGACATTGCGAAACTGTCGATTAGATATTTGCGCTGACTTCGATTGGGCTTAAGTCTTCGTACGACATCTGTAGGCTACTCCATTAAAATTGCAACAGTTTATACCTTTACTCGTACTGTTTATGATAACTCATCGCACATCGGAACGATGCGATGATTCTATTAAACTTGTTCCTAATAGCTTCATGAAGCGAATGGTTGTAGCTGATCACATAATTGACTGCGAATGCACTTGTACGACATCTACGATATGTCCTGTTAAAGCTGCAACTCCTTTCCTTCCTTCCTTGTCATGTCTCGTACTCAAGTCGATAACCTGATCGCACCTTCTCGTTTACAATTTTTTCATGGAATAACGCAGCTTATAGAAAGAAAAAGCATCTTTGTCGCAATCAAATGCATAATTCTATCAAACGTGTAAATTCGTTTAATTACTTGTAACAGTAGACTGTTGATGTTTCCATTTTTATGGAACGATAAACCTTCTTTTAATATGTTTCATTATTTTCACATTTAACATATGAAAATCACCTCGATTCTTTTTAGCAATCTTACTGTTACGATTTGTTACTTTTTTTTCGTATATACTCGTATCAAGATCAACACGAACATAATTTCTGTTCAGTTTATTCGTTCTTAAGACCAGAAGATTTTTTAATAAAAGGACAGTCTCATCGTATTAATGCCTCTATATCGGTGCACACGTTCTCGAGACGCGACGACAAGGCGCGGGTATTAATAGAGTCGACGTTGGGACGGGGCACACGGTTTAAACCGACTCTTTGCTCTCTTGATCTTCAGCGTTCTAGAGCGCTCTAACCAGCCACGGGAGATCTTATGCATTCTTGGATACCTTAGTCACGAGAATCAGTGACCTCGATACGTAATTTCAAATAAATTATAATGAATAGGCATTACTGAAATGTGCATTATTTACTCTGAATTTTACAAAATCAGATATTCACGATTGTTTAACTGAATGAAAAGCTTATCATATGCTGCATCATATGTGGATGAAATATGGAATATTAGGTAGGTAATTAAGTAACAATTATCACAAGGATGTCTGGAAACAAAAGTTAAAGCATACAATAAGTGTATTTAATTTCAATTTTTTCGCTTCAACTTAAGTAAATGATACTTATTGATTCAAAATTTAGAGTTATTCGCATAAAAGCTCTTTTGTTTGATCGAGCCAAAATGCGCTAGATATTAAACGTATCATGTACCATTGGAAGGTAGAAAAGAAAAAGAAAAATTGCTTAACAGATTTTCAGCGATAAATGATTTGAATTAAAATATTTTATGTGTACTTTACTGTATTAGTAGACTGAACAAATGTAACGCGAAAAGAATTCAATGCCAGTGAAAATTTCTGCTTCTGTTCTGCGCTGTTATTTTGGTAGCCTGTTGAGTGGATAGTTTTGGTATGTTTATTATACTTGTATGAGGATACAGATAGTGTGTGCGTATATCGAACATGGGTCGCAGTTATTCGAACGTGAATAAAATTTTCCTTTAAATAACGTAGTAATCGTTGTCGTTAGTAATTTTATTTAATAAGCTGTGTTGCGAATAATTTTACATAAATAACACAACAGAAGATCAGCAAATTATTTTTGTGACTAAGATTCTTTCGTTGTAAAAATGTAAAAATCAGACATAAGGAAACGAAAAAGGAGTACAGGTTTAATCCTTGTAATTACAGTAATTTAAGCCGAAATGTAAGGGAAAAAGTTATACAGTGTTGTATTTTATTTCAACGGTAAATTTTAGGTTTAAATTCAAAGCAATGAAATTTTTAAGCAAGGAACATCCGCTTCTGTACGTAAAACATTGTCTCGATAACTTTATCTTCACAATGTGTACCTATAATGATGATTACACACGCCTGATATCAATCGTTCCTTTATCACAGCGTTATAACATCAAATTGTTAACATTGGGCTCTTCGCAATGAAACTTGTTTTAAATTATCCAAGTAGTATATTTACGTAGTTATATAATTTAAAACAATGTCTGAACAATGAAAAAAATCAGCATCGGTAAATGATGAGATTCTTAAAACTGCAATTAGAAAGAGGGAAAAACTTACCAGTCACGTACTCTAGTAGTCGATAAAAAAGCAAATATACCTACTTATAAAACTTATAAAAACACAGGTTGAACTTTGTTGTTGAGTTATCTTCTTCTCCCATTGCATACACCTGTTCACTACGTAATCAGTGCATATTGTTGAATATGTTTTCCAGTCGTAATACTACGTTAACGTCATTTTGACTACGAATATTTATCTTGTTTTGCTTACGCATTGATTCTTACCTTATTTAGGTATACATATTGCACTATTGGAATGTTATACCAATATTCGAATATGCAAGAGATTATCTTTGCTTGTAGCATATTTCTTACAATAATACTAAGTACCATGTGCACACAAACGAGAAAAGCTTTTATATTATCATATATAATTTATAATTATTATATGGTAAAAAAATTGATTTTCAGAAATCAAACATATATCATTAATATCTCACTTCAATAATTACTAATTCAATATCTTATATTGAAATTTTTACGATGTAAGATTGAGATAGA